CTAATAAGAGTACTGTGGTCGACCGTTTTTTTGGGCTTTTAAATGTTGAAGATGCAACTGCACAAGGTTTGTACGACCTAACCGTGAATTATTTAAATTTATTGAAAATACCTTTGGGGAATAAGGTTGGTGTTAAACAAAAGTTTCAACAAATAAACAATAATTTATTTTATTTCGGTTGCACCCTGAATTTGTGCTCATCTGCTGCTCCCAAGCAGTTGCCAGTAAAACTAGACAAGCTTTTAAGGAATGTGTTTCTCGTTTTTCGCCATAGCACATCGTAAAGATTTCAGAAATTTTCAAGATGCTTTCAATACCCTGCCACATAATATATTAGGAGTACGTAAAACGCGGTGGTTATCTTTGGAAGCAGCAGTTGAGCGCTTAATCGAACAATGGCAAACTTTAAAAGATTAGTTTTTATTGTTTTCATTTGAAGAACTAATGTCATCCTCGTCCCACATTTTAAATTATCTCAATGATACAAACTATGCTTATTTCTTATTACTGGACTACATAATGAAAAAAAATATATGCTTTTAATAGAGTATCAATCAAAAGGAACAGTTATTCATTTGTTACATTCACGAATCACAACATTTTTCAAAGACTTACTTCAGAATTTTGTAGATTTTGATTTCATATCTGCAGATTACAAAAATTTAGCGATGCTATTAAAAAATATTTCCTCAAAAAAAAAAATATTAAACATTTTCTATAGCCTTGGAATTTGCACTTTAACCTACTAAAATTTAATGAACTACAAAACTTCATACCCAAAGTTTTTCTAAACATTCTTAATAAAAAGGTTAAGATTTTCGGGTGCAAATGTTAAAGTTTGCTGAATTTTCATAATTTTTGTACGAAGTTTGAAATGTGGATTTATGTGGCGCTGGTTAGGTAAAGTGCTACAAAAAAAGTGCTATAAAAAATATAAACATTAAATAAACAAAAGAGAAATTGCCAAAACTAGAAAAAATGTCTCTTGACTTAATCAGCTGACCACTAGGGTATATTCTTCTTTACCGCGTTTCTTTCATTGCATTTTCGGGTTGAAGTGGTAAAGGTGTTTTTTCACAAAAGTGAAAAGTATCGCAAATAACGATAGTGAACAGTGTAATATCAAAGAACGTAGATAACAAGAAGGGACAACTCGTTATAATTGTGGCGAAAGTGCGCAACAGGGGCGTGCCTTCTCTTTTCATCCAATCAAAAAACGCAATAAGGCAAAAGAGAAGGCACGCCCCTGTTGCGCACTTTCGCTACAATTATAACGAGTTGTCCCTTCTTGTTATCTACGTTCTTTGGTAATATGTATATAGGAAAAAGTTAACTAGTTTCCGGTGGAATTGAGAGTCTAAAAAATTTTAAGTGTTATTGTTAGTTCTAAAATATACATATACCGCAAAATAAAAATAATTGCCTTTACTTCCCATTTTACCAACCTAGGGTACCACTGTCCAAAATAATGGACGCAGAATAACGGTAAAACTAAGAGTTTTATAAAATTTTTGATTGTATTTTTGAAATCAGCGACCCAAAATTTGCCGGTTCACAAATTTTCAGATTTTTAGCTTCGACGGTTGATTTTTGGTACTCAAATTGTTAAAAAAAAGGGTGCACACACTGGTACACGCCTCTAACCACTCAGCCACAGCGGTCTCCTTTTTTTTAAATACCAACATTTAAAAAATCAGTTTTCAGTATCGACCTGTATAAAGCGGGCCCAATGTGCGCCGGGTAAACGAATAACAACCGTCAACATTTTTCAGAAGGACTAGAGATGTGGCTGTCGAAAGTATCACACGATTGCAAGACCAAATTATATACATAGGTAACTCAAGAAATGAGTGAGTGACTGATTATTTGAGCTCATAAACTTTTTCGATTGGTCACTGCAACATGTGTTTTGTCTCCATTAAGCGTGAAAATTGTATATTCAAATTTGTTACCGTCAGAGCTTGAGCTGCTCGATTTGCTGGGTTAGTCATCACTGGGCACTGCACTGCTGCTACTATGCTCCCACGATCACGCACTTATGTACATAAGTACGTATCTACAAGGTTTTAGCACTTTAACTAAAAGGATTTTAAGCGTTTTTCAAACTTTTGAAATTAGCTTTTTAATTGATAGTACGTGTCATCACACTAAATAAATTGATTAAAATAATCAATGCTGGTGCAATGTGAACTTGAATCTTAAAAAAAGATACATCAAAATTCAATCGAACAACTGGTGTGTTTTGGGGGGTCATGCTTTGGGTTGGCTAATTTGCGATGTTCATGTCATCAGACGTTAATTGAAATGATCTCATCGGGCATGCGGAATAGACGACATTAAACCACAATAAATGATTAGTCATACAAGTAGAAAATGTTGCCGACTCTTCTTGCAAAGTGGTACAATAATTTACATTAAAGAGCTGCAAAAATACATTTGCTTCTTCTACGCCTTCAAGTACTCTTTGGATTGTACTCTACTAATAGAATGCGAATATCTCGGCACTAAGCCACTACTCTTCATTGAGAGTGCAAACACTAATCACACTTCTTCTGTGCACAAGTAGTATACTACTTGCCCCGAGTAAGGATGCATCGGTGTTATTGAAACATCGATAATATCGGTTCAAGATTCGATGTTTGCCATCGATATTTACAATTTTCTAACATCGAGGGCAGTTTAGCGATGTTTTATACATCGATTTTAGTGTGTCTAATCATTAAAAAAGGACCGACCCTCAGTCCGAATCCTTGGAATTTTAGGCGCCAGCGACCTTAAGATGGTTGAATTTTGATTATAATTATAGGAAGGGTGCAGGAAGTCTACTTAGTTAAATACAGGGAAATACATCTGTTCGCATGTATTTCTCTAATTGAATTACACAGACTGTATTGGCTAGGATTGGGAATAATTACATTTTTCTTACAATTTAACTAGAACTTAACAAATTGCAAAGCATCGGAAACCATTGATTTATCGATACTTTGATGGCTATGTATTTTAGCATCGATGTACATTTCTCCGATGCATCGATGAATCGATGTTACTCCCTAAAATTTGCATCCCTAGCCCCGAGTAGAGAGCTTGCTTGTGGTACTCCCAAGTACTTGTGTATTCGCAATTAGTTTTTGCATATTTGCGACTTGACCGACATTTATTTATTCTATAATATTATTAGTATTTATTCATAAACTAAAACTATACAGATTTCTTTAACATTGCCAAGTTTTCATTACCCCGTATTCATTATCTTATTGCAGCCAAGGCTATACCTGAAATAAATACATATTTATGTGCATATACCCCAGTAAAATAATTGATTGATTGAAATAATTATATGTGCAATACTTCAACTTCAACTAGTTAAATGAAAAACCAATAATAGATATTTGATTCACTAACTTTATCAAAAGAATATAAAAAACTTTATAAATATGCATTAGTTTATAACAAGATAATTTAATTGTACTATTATGTTGAAATTTTCGTAGAAAATATTTATTTGTGCAAAGAATCAGGTTTTAGGTTATCGATTATTTAAAAAAAAAGTTTTCAAGCAAATTTTATTTGTTGGTGTTTGATTGTATTTCTATAGCACAATTTTATTTGTTTTACGCTTTGCAGCATATAATAATAACAGATTGGTGCTTACACATATCTTAGTGTTTGGCCAAGCTTCTCCTCCGATTTGTGGCGTGCGCCTTAGCCTACAGTTTTTACGCCGACTACGAACGGCGATTGAATTTTTTTGAGAAGCTGTTTTTCATGGCAGAAATACACTCGGAGGTTTGTCTTTGCCTGCCGTGGGGCGACCGCTGTTAAAAAAAAGACCTTTTTTCTAAATTTTTTTGCGATGTTGCTTTGACCAGGGCTTGAAACCAGACCCGTGGAAACGCACCCTGCTTACCACTACACCACAGCGGACACATACATTTTACCGATATTTTGTATTTGTATCGATACATCGATACGATTTCACACATCGAGTGGAAGATTTTCGATGCATCGAAGCAAAACATGAGTCTTGCAAAGCCCTTGCATGGTCCACAGATTGCACGGATTGCACGGTTAAAACCGGTTTTCATATGGGACAGCTTTGCAAACCATGCAATCCGTGCACCGTGCAAGGGCTTTGCAGGACTCAGAGAATACCCCTATTGATATTTTCGTTGCATCGATGTTTTTCCGACATCCCTACTAGCAGTCGGTCAGCTTGCGTTCTACTTCATGCTGTAAGCATGGCATGCGCAAGTTATTTTGAGTACACACCCTGCAAAAATCGCGACTACTCCATGCATGCGTGTAAAGAGTACTCCCTAAGGACCAAAGAGTACTCCAAAATTAACCACAATTCATATAAAAAATATGATCCAATTAACATTGCGATGTCCTAGGCCAGGACCATATACTCCATCCCTGCATTTCATCAGAGTAGCACAAAACTACTCCAACATATTAACAATCCCTGCAAAAATCGTTGGACCATGTAGTCTATTTGTGGTATATTGGAGTACTACAAAAGTGTTCTTCTGTCATGCTGTAGCGGACCAACTCGTGTCTCTGTGCCAGCTTATTGTTTGTTACCCGATCACTGCTCGTGTTTTAACGAAATGTGATTGAAGTTGAGCATTTGAAAGCACATTTGCATGTCTGGCTGTAGCTGAACGTGTAGAGATGCTCGCTGTTAGTTGTTAGCTCCCAGCATGTTCGGGTTCGAATGCCGTCAGAGGCAACAAAAATATAACAACAAACAAATCGAGTAAAAGGTCAGAAATTTTAAGAAAATGCAATAGCTTTGTTTTTATTCATACGGGCCAATATCTTAACTCTGTTTTTTATTAATTCTTACTAAGCGAAAACTTTCAGTTATTTTAATGGTTCACAATTTACCATCAGTACATATAATAATTTATTATAAACATATTATTTACGGCGGTAGATAAATACATAGCTTATATGGCATATATGTATGCATAAGTATCCCTAGAAAGGTTACTAACCTGCTTTGAAGCTGCCGCTGCTGCTGCTGTATGTTTATTTATAATGTTATTTTTCTCGTTTGCTGTCGCTACCGCCATTTTATCTGTTTGCTGCCGATTGTTATGTTGTGTGTCAATCGTTTGTGCTAAGCTCATATCACGGTTTTTGGTCAGGGACGACTCGTTAATATTGTGTATTTCGCCGAGCGTCATTTCTTTTTATTGCAGGCCTAACAAAACGAGACCAAAAAAAAAAATTTTTCTGTATCTATATATATAAAAAGAAGTTACATTTCCTTGGTAATCTTATAACTCAAGAACCGCCGAACCGATTGACACAAAAATTTTAGAGTTCTTTTCTATCTTTGAGGAGGTGGTTTGTGTGAAGTTTTATTGAAATCGGTGCAGCCGTTCCTGAGTTATGACATTTTATGTGTCATCTTATATATAAAAATAAGTGCACGTTTTTGGTGTGACCTCATAACTTGAGAACGGCTTCACCGAATTCAACCAAATTTATGTGACATATTTGATCTATCATGCAGATGGTTTATGCGAAGTTTGCTTGAATTCGGAAAAGGGGGCGTGGCACCACCCATACTAACTAAAATATAAAAATAAGAGAACGTTTTTGTTGTGACCATATAACTTGAGAACGGCTTCACCGAATTCAACCAAATTTATGCGGCATATTCGGGCTATCACGCAGATGGTTTATGTGAAGTTTGCTTGAATTCGGAAAAGGGGGCTTGGCGCCTGTATTTTATATATAAAATTAGTGAGTTAGCTTATTACTTGAGAACGGCTTAACCGAATTCAACCAAACTCATAAAGCTAATTTGGGCCATAATGCAGATATTTTATGTGGAGTTTGCCCAAATTTGGAAAAGGGGCGTGGCATATGTATCTTATGTATAAAAATAAGAACACGTTTTTGGTGTGAGCTTATAACTTGATAACGGCTTCACCGAATTCAACCAAATTTATGCGGCATATTCAGGCTATCATCCAGATGGTTTATGTGATGTGATGTGTATGGTACAACAGCAGATACAAGAAAAATCGAAAACATAGTGAAAAATTCTTGCTATTTATGATGTGCTGTGTTTATTTTTTCTTCGGATAAATTAAGTCAAGTATAAACATGGCTGCAATATAGTTCTCAATTTTTTTTTAAACATGATTTGTTTTATTTCAACCCGGCCTTGAGCTCAAAAAAATCAATATAATAATCAATTGAATTTATTTCAATAATTTTGCACAAATTTGTTGCATCATTTCGTACGAAAAGTTTCAAAACGTAGTGGAAAATTGTTGCTATAATGTGCTGTTTTTATTTCTTTCTTTGGATAAATTAAGTCAAGTATAAAAATCGCTGCAAGTTTTTCAATAGGGATTTTGTAGAACCAATGGAATGAAAGTCACCACAACACAACATATCTGTCGTTTCATCGTATTATCGAATAGGTGGTGTACATTGATATTCGGTCTTTCATTTTGGACTCCACGATCAACACCGGCAGATGAGATCAATGCATGCTTGAAGTCTTCCCCTCCGTGGCGATATGTGCAAAAATTGACATTACACATAAACATGCGTGTTCAGTTGCACAAGCAATTGTTAGAGATCGGAAATGGCAAAGTTCGAATCGATAATACAAATGGCTTGATCACATTGCCGAAGAATTTTTGTAAAATTCTCCAATTAAAAGAAAAATTTATTGAATGCGTGTTTCCAAATATTGCTCAAAATTACCTGTATCACGATTGGTTGAGAGAACGCGCAATACTGGCACCAAAAATGTGCATATCAATTCAATCAATTATCAAATTCTAGAAAAATTGCCATATGAAGTGACAACATATAAATCTGTTGACAGCGCAATGAATCAAGATGACGCAGTGATTTATCCAGTTGAATTTTTGAATTCAATGGAACCGCCTGGTATGCCACCACATTGTTTGAATTTAAAGGTCGGCTCATCAATTATTTTACTACGGAATTTAAATGCTCTGTGTAATGGAACAAGACTGGCAGTAAAAAAATTGATGGCGAATTTAGTTGAAGCAACAATACTGACTGGGAAAGCGAAAGGTGAAATTGTGCTCATACCACGTATTCCACTGATAAAAACAGACATAACGTTTGAATTCAAGCGTTTGCAATTCCCAGTGCGTCTAGCATTTGCCATGTCCGTCAACAAGGCGCCAGGACAAACTCTTCAAGTATGCAGATTGAATTTGGAGGAGCCGTGCTTCTCGCACGGACAGCTATACGTGGCCTGTTCAAGAGTTGGCATTCCAAATTGTTTATTTATTCATACCCAAGATGGAAAAACAAAAAATTTTGTATATCCAAATGTGTTGGATTAAGATTAAAAATAAAGAATCAAACATTTTGAAATAAAACAAATGATAAATCTTCATATAGAAAAATTCCAGGATTTTTCATCAATTGTTCAATATTTGGTGTAGAGAAGCACACCGGGATACCGCTAGTACTCTATAACAGAGGTGGTCAAAGGAGCCTTTTGCACTTAGGAGTTCGCTTGCCTAAACTGAGTGCTAGACGAGCGATGCAGAGCCAGTATGAAGCGAAAAGAAGAGCATAATAAAATTTCTTATACTGGGGCTCACTTTACTAATACAAACATTAAAAGAGAGACTCATACCCTGCAGGGAAAACCCGATTTAGAGTTCAGAACTAATTTTATCAAATTTTATTTTATTTTACTTTGCAAAACTACATATCGCTCATTTGCTGGAAGAGCGTCATATTCCCTACAAAATAAAATTTCGAGATGAGAAAATACGTAATCCTATTTAGAAAAAATTAACTTCTGGTCAGTTCAACCCCTTTCCGTTCGAAATCGGAAGTCGGTAATACCACCAAAAAAAGAGAGGCCTCGACTTGGTAATTCGTGTTTTTTCGTTTTCCAACAAAAAATAATTCGCCCATTTTCGAAGTCCAGGACGAGTTGAAGAGAAGGTCATTTAGGGGTTGAAAACGGCGCTTCTGAGAAAAAAGTTTCAAACAAAAGATACGTATTTTTATCCTTAGAATCTGAAGGCATAAATGCAGAATACCTACAATTCTCAAATTAAAAAAATATATATGGGCATGGATTGAGGTCATCGTAGCGGTATATTTTTTTTTTTGGAAACAACAACTACAAGAGTTATAAACGGTCAAAGTTCAAATTAAGCATTTCTTTAAATCAAAATTTTTCAAAACCCCTTTCACGGATTTTGAAAATTTTGATGTCACTCGATAGAGAATATAATTCTCTTTAATAAAGTACATATGTTGTATATGCCTTTATTGGTCCTCACCAAGGCATATTAAATAAGGTAGAAGCGATTTTGACATTTCTCCACTATAATGTCAAATAACACTGGTCTACAAATTTCAACTTTTTTTCTGCGAATAAGACGGGACCTGGTGTTTCTGAACGGATTTTTCGTGCTGAACACGAATCCGGGGTCAAAAATGTCCGCAATTCATTATCAGATTAACTAACCGTGCTTTCGATGAGCCCTATGCCGAATTGATCGCGTGCACCCTTAAAGCAGGGGGTGTATTTGTGTTTAGGGGTGCAGGAAAAATTGATCACAGAAAGAATTTAATCTTAAACGATCATAGAAAATTAATAATGCCAAGGTTTTAACTATATTAAAAGTCGCTGATTACGAATCTGCAGTTAGATTTTAAAAATTTAAGATGACGGGTCGAATATGGTGGATATAAAAATTGGACTCCTAGACACAAATACACCCCCTGATCTAAGGGTGCATGCGATTAATTCGGCATAGGGCTCATTCGAAAGGGCACGATTTAGCCTTTAATTTCTGACATATACAAAGTTTGTAGCACGTCAGGGTTCAGCTCTACATTTTTCAAAAATGGCCAAAAACGCTGTTTTTAGGGGTTTCAACCCCTTTTTTCTCGAAAACGTGACGTGATGGGAAGTTTTGGACCCCAGATTCGTGTTCAGCACGAAAAATCCGTTCGGAAACACCAGGTCCCGTCTTATTCGCAAAACCCTTGTAGACCAGTGTAATCAATAACTTTTAACTCCTTTCAAGTTGGCATTTTCTACATATTTTTCATTAAAAATTCAATTGCGTACCGTGAGATTATTTTGAATTGTGTGAATTTTTTTTTACCACATCCATTTATAGATAATTATACAAAAATGAGAAGGAGCAGGAACTACTAGCGTTGCGCTGTGTATAGCAAGAGCCAAGACGTTAAAGTGGTGTGATATTTTGAGGCGCCTATTGGCGAAGTTAGAAGACTTCGTTGGGAGAACAGCGGCGGTATTCAATTGGAAGATTCTTTAGTTTAACGAGGCTAAGTCTTTACAAGCCTCCCATGAAAAAATTTTGCCTAAAGGGCAGTTAAAAAAATTATCATATAAATTTAGAACAAAACATTAAATAATTTGCCGGATGTTTTTTTAGAATTTAATATTTAAATAAGAAACTAAACGCGCAAGAGCATTGGGCAAATAAAAACAAAAAATGTTTAAAACAGATTCATAAAATATTTTTTCATTTTATTTACGTGGTTTCCTTTATGACCCACTGGGAAAATAGGTAAGCACCTTACGAGGTAAGCCATGTTTTCTTTCAGTTTTTTGTACCAAAATTGTCATCATGGCCAATGTCATCTACTAGTAAAGCGCAAAATGAACACCTTGCTTAAAGTTGCTTCTGCTTAGACTACTTCTTACACCAGCAGGAATAGAATTCCACAAACGTATCGCGTTGACGAAGAACATATATTTAAAAAATAATGACAAACCCATTTTTTTTTAATCACCTAGTTAGTTATATGAAAAAGTTCTGGAAATATACAGGGTGTCCTAGACCGCCCGTCCACTTCCTCTAAAATGGAGGGAAAGGTTTTTTTATTGAAAACCTACTAAATCGGGGATGTCCTATCTTTTGGTGAAATTATCGACTTCCGGTTTCAAATTAAGAATTTTTAAATCCAAATTTTTCAAAAACCCTGTCATTGTTCATGCGATAGAGAGTTTAATTCTCTTTAATTCGATGTACAGTATCGGTCATATCTATGGCACGCCATTTCAAAGTGATATTGTGTGCCACTTATGTTTATTTATTTATTTTTAAGAATTTTAAATTAAAATACAGTCCTTTCTCTAATAAACCCCATATAAACCAAAGTTTAATAATTTGTAGAAAACTTCAAAAAAGTGCAACA